GAGAGAGAGAGAGAGAGAGCATGTGCATGTGCATGTGCCTTTAAAGACATCGGACCCCCTGGAACTGGAGTTCAGGCAGTTGTGAGCCACTTGATGTAGAGCTAGGACGCAAACCCGGGACCTCTTAAGAACAGTGCATGCTCTTAACGGCTGAGCTGTCACTCCGGCTGCCTCCTGGGTGTTTCTCTCCAGATCTTTTGGAGTTGTTTCTTCCATGCCCAATTTAAAGTAGTTTATAAACCACAAGTCTTTATTGAGCTTTCATAAAAAACAAATCTCTTCCCTTTGTGCTCATATTTCACCAGCTTATGGGATCGCTAATTCAATTGCCTCTTTACAAAAACCAGTGTGGCTGGTGCAGACCAGTTTGGAAACAAACCCAATAGACTCTTGGCAAGCATGCAATTTGATGGCAGAAAGCCAGAGGGGACAAGGGTGGCAGAGAGTGGCCTGCTGGCCACTCAGCAGGCGTGTGGCAGGAGTGTCCCATTCAAACAGCCTGGAGAGCTCCGTTAGCCGGGGAAGCTGTTTAAACAGATTGCTAACAGGAATTTTGTTCTCACCCTCATTCTAGCAAAGACTCCATAGTGTGGTGTTGACTTTGGGAGACATCTGCACAGCAAGACAATTCATTTGCCAGCCTGCCTTACAGCCACAAGTGATCATGGGATGAGCGTCACCAGTGGAGTGCAAGTTAGAGTGTGGGTTCCAGATGTGGCCTCTAGGGAACAGGGCAACGTCTCCATCTCTGTCTGCAATATAGAGGCAGAGGACCCTGTGCCCTGGGAAATGGTGGGTCACCGTGTAAGCAGCCGGGAACATCGCGTGAAGGAAAGGCGTCATCCCGTCAGAATGCTTGCCTGGTTTATTAAGACAGCTAGCATCACCTAATGGACACACTTACCATGTGAGCTGTGATAGTCAAATTAGGTGATACATAGACTCCTAAGTGGGACTTCCTATTGTTTCAGGTTCCCAGATGAAGTCTGCTTTACAGCTGAGGTCAAACAGAAGGTACCGAGAACACCTATATCCCAGAAAGCTCCAAGACTCACCTGCAGGCCCTTCTTAGAAATGCTCTACTGGCTTCCTCCTCCAAGTCTAGCCCCCTCCAGCTAAGTAGTGAAGTCAAGGGCAAGTTTCTAGGACCAGACAACAGGTTTAGATCCTGGGCCTACAATACACCAACTGCGAGACCCTGGTAAAATTGTGTCAGCTCTCTGGGTGGCCTTGATGATAATATCTGCCACCTCATTGCCCTATAAATCCCCAGAAACAGAGGCTGTGAGGTCAGCTTGAGTCCTGGCTGCATGTTCTATTCCCCTTTCCCTCTGTCCCCTTCCTCCTCCCTCTCCCTGACTGCTGAACTCTGTCAATCACTACATGGGTCTCTTCTTTATCTAGTTGGAAGCCAGAAGAGTTCAGCCTCAGAGAAAAATGAGACTGAGTCACAAGGAATAACAAGAGCCATCCAGGTCAGAGCAAGCAGCCTGAGGAAAGGCCTAGAAGGGAGAATGTGGCCAAGAGGGGATGCCACACCCATGGGGTGTCTCAGCACAGAGCCTGCCACAGCCATACAGTTTGTAAGCAATATAAGTCTCTGTGTTTACTTGGTTGGGTCTGAGCAGCTGTGGGACTGGCGGGTGACAAAGATTTGTCCTGACTGCGGGCAAGGCAGGAAAACTCTAGCTACAAGACTAGACACAAGACACAAGAGGCCTGAGAGTCGTGGGTCTGGTCCAGTCAGTGGAGGTTTATCTCAGGGTCCCAGAGGGTTTTAAGCAGAATGACTTAGCCATGGTTGTGCTTACAATGGTCTTTCTGGCTATGCGGTGTGGCCAACGGGAGAAGGCACTCACGGTGGGTCATCCAGTGGACAGACAAGGTACCCTGCCTCAGGGCCTGGTGATTAAATAATATATTCAGCACAAATGGAAAAGCAACAAAATACCCTCCCCCAAACAGGGGCTGAGGGAGAACTAACTATCTTTATCACCACCTCATCCTGAAGCTTGGGACATGGTCCCCAAATAGGCTGCACTTTTACATCTGGGCAACAGGGGGCAGCAGTGACCTCTAGTTCCAGGACTTGGATCAGCTGGCAGCCTCTCCACTATTCAAGCTTACAAATATCACTAGGGGGCAGCACCATGTTACTGTTTCCTCCACCAAAGCCTGTTGGAAACCGCTAATAACACACAGATTTTAGCGAAGTGGGCACTCAGGGTGGGCTGGGAGCAGTGGACTCAGGAAATGCAAGATCCTGCTCAGACCAGATGCTGGTGCGGGGGGAGGGGAGGGTGTTGTTCGGGGGTTGTTCTTGAACAGTCGACAAGTGACCACATGTGATCTGGATACTTGATAATGTTGTTCAGTTGAAGTTAAGAAAAGGAAGGGAAGGGAAAAGACAAAATGGGAGGAAAGGAGAAGGGAGAGAAGGGGTAGATTAAAAACAGAGGAGAGAAAAGAAGGGGAAGGATAGGAGAGAAAGAGAGGAGAAAATGGGTGGGGTTGGGGAGACAGAGCACACAGGCCTTGGGTTCAGCTGGTTCTGAGTCTCCTAGCCCTGATAGTAGCTATAATTTTACATCTCCATCTTCAGTTTCTCCTCTGTAGGTCAGGAATTCCTTCAAGTACCTCACATTTCAAAAGTCATGGACAGGGGCACCAGGACACAGTAAATACTCACTAGGTGATGGCACTGTCCGCTGCCTGGCACTATCCTGGTGCTAAGCCCAGAGCAAGGTCTAGAGGGCCAGATTCTCTAGAGCTGGCACCAGTTAGGACAGGGAGGGTGCTGGGCATCTTGGCAGGCCTGGGATCTCTCTCTGTCTTCCACTGAGGGAGCCCTGTCTTCATGATCTCCCTCAACATGCAGGAAGATGGGGTGCCCCAGTCCACAGTCTGGCTCCGTGCTGGGCGATTCAGCTATTGCTGACAGAGAAGGAGTTTCCAGAGAGCAACAGGTCAGTGACACAGCCCCCCTGCCGCTCCAACCCAGCACTAAGGAAGTGAGTGCAGACACTTTCCTGGGGTTCAACCAGTGGGACCCAGGTAGCTCAGTTAGGAAAGCCTGACCGAGGAAGAAGGTCAGAAGGTCTTCATCTCTTCACACAGGGAGGGCTCCTGTCCCAGCCCGCCATCATTCTACCACACAAAGGTGGTGACTCTGGGAGACGGGCAGCCCTACATTGTGAGGTTCCTTCTCCTCTTGCCTCCAGGCCAGCTTTGGGCTTGGCCACCTTGCCCCACCCGTGGGAGGCCGCTCTCACTTCCAGGTGTGGTGCTGGACTTCGTTCTCTAGTTGGCTGCTCAGATGGACTCAGCACCCACACTGAATGTTTCTCCTTTTTTAAAAATATTCTGTCAAATAGGACAAGTCAGTCACTGAAGAGTGTCTGGCTTTGAAGGCACAAAGCTCAAGGACAGGCAAAATCACACCTGTGGAGATGGAAATCAGGCAGGACAGGGCTCATGTAATCACCAGAAGGGAACCACAGGAGGAGCAGGACTTTCCTGAGGTGATGGGAACATTATATAGCTGGACAGAGGTATTGGTTACATGGGTGCACAGTCATAAAGACGAGACAGGTTTGTGGCTTGTGCATTTAACTGTGCGAATTACACACATCTCAATAAAGTTTCATAAGGGAAAATCCCTCTTTCAGCACAGAGACTATTGTCCTTTGTTTAGTTCTTGGTTTTTGAACAGGATCTCACTGTGTAGCTCTGGCTAGCCTGGAACCCAGTATGTAGACCAGGCTGGCCTCGAACTCACAGAGCTCCATTTACCTGCCTCTTCTTTGGAGTTCTGGGACTAAGGGCATGTACCACCACACAGACCAGAGACTTCTCCGATTGCCTGGCTAGACATTGATGATAACACCATTTTAAAAAGTATTTGTTGCCGGGTGTGGTGGCATATGCCTTTAATTCTAGCACTTGGAAGGCAGAGGCAGAGGGATCTCTGAGTTTGAGGCCAGCCTGGTCTACAAAGCAAGTTCCAGAACAGCTAAGGCTGTTATACAGATAAACCCTTTCTCAAAAACAAACAACAAAAAAGTATTTGTTGTTTGTGGTGTTTGTGTGTGAGTGTGTGTGTGTGTGTATGTGTGTGTGTGTATGTATGTGTGTGTACGTGTGTGTATGTGTGTGTGTATGTGTGTGTATGTATGTGTGTGTATGTATGCGTGTGTGTATGTGTGTATGTATGTGTGTGTGTATGTATGTGTGTGTGTATGTGTGTGTGTGTATGTATGTGTGTGTGTATGTGTGTGTATGTATGTGTGTGTATGTGTGTGTATGTATGTGTGTGTATGTATGTGTGTGTGTATGTGTGTGTGTATGTATGTGTGTGTGTATGTGTGTGTGTATGTGTGTGTATGTATGTGTGTGTGTATGTGTGTGTGTATGTATGTGTGTGTATGTGTGTGTATGTATGTGTGTGTATGTATGTGTGTGTGTGTATGTATGTGTGTGTGTATGTATGTGTGTGTATGTGTGTGTGTGTATGTATGTGTGTGTGAGTGTGTGTGTGTATGTATGTGTATGTGTGTGTGTGTATGTATGTGTGTGTGTATGTGTGTGTGTATGTATGTGTGTGTGTATGTATGTATGTGTGTGTGTATGTATGTGTGTGTGTGT